AAAATTCCTGCCTCTGGGGAGCACTCGGTGGGGATGATATGACTATGGTAATATGACTTAGAGCAAATAATTTCACGAACTTCAGCATTTCAACTGTCATTAGTCCTACTTCACCGGTGACACATGTCACACCCACTGGGATGCTCCAGACCTGCCACCCTAGCTACTAGGGAGCTGTTCTAGAGTCTAGAGGGTGCAACATGACAAAAGGATATTTTGGAAGATGATTCTCCCTAGTAAGTAGAAAGGCTTGAATGGGGATAATGGAATGGGAGTCAAATGACTCAGGACAATTTCGAAGTATCATCCTTTAAAATCATATTCGAATTTCCCGTTCACATGCCTTTTTGTGGGGAGTGGGGAGAGGAATCCAGCTTTCATCAGATTCTCAAAGGAGTTCATAATCCCCCCACATTTAAGACTTACTGGTCTAGAACCCAGACTTTTTTATTACCATGAACTCAATCACTAAATATTTTTAAATACCCCTGTAAATATTTGTATATTGATTTATATGTAAATTATCTTCATAATCTACCACCATTGGTTAGTAAATCAAGGAACAATATCCACTTAAAATGAAGTTAATCATTAATGATATGAAATGTAAATTCAAGTTTCACTGTTTCTAATAATTACTAACTGTTCTCATCATATCTAATAACCTTATATTGCAGTCAATGAACAACTTCTACTCGGATTCAGAAATCTGTATCTCATTTTCCTGTTTGTGATTTGGGGGAATTATTTTTTTAAAGAATCGTTTAAATCCTTTGAAGCCATTGGTTTACTCTTTGAGTTTTAGTTAAAACTAGGTTGTGTAATCCATAAATCCATTTAACCTTGCTAATTCAAATACATTAAAATACTCTGGAAATGATCTCAGGAGAGAGAATGCCACTACCAGCACCTGGGAATACTTTGTGTATCATCATGACGTGACATGAGGCCACTTCAAGTGAGGTTATGTATCAAATATTAATATTTAGGGCCTCATGTCAAATTATGGGGCCACAATATCAAACTAATATTTGGAATATAGTGTTTTTAGTTTTAGTTTAACATACATATTTATAGAAGTTCTAGTATACTACTCTTTCTGTGCTTCAGTGGATTGTCTTGTGGGCACCACCGCAGAGACTCCAAGTCCAAGAAATGATTCACAGCAAGTAATCCACAGGTGTGATAAGGTGAGCCAGGTACAGACCATCAAGTGTCAGCAGAGATGCTTAAGGGCGATGGAAAGGATCAGCTGGAGAGGAAGGAAAGAATAAATCTGAGCTTAGGGGAGAAATAGGAGTCCAAGATGATTCTAAAGTTTCAACCCCAAGAGACATGAAAAAGTAACTGGAAATGGCAAAACTGGGTTGGAAGGGGTATTGGTCCAATGTTCTACTTCGGATATGCTGTGTACGAGCCGCTATGTGAGCAAACAGACAAAGGCCAGCTGGCCCCCGGAGACCAGCCGGTCACCTCCCAAGCATAGGACGTGTAGATTCTGACCTCAGCTAGCCTGTTCCGAGCATGACTGCGGCTCCACGTTCTGTCCACTGTCTTTCAAGTCATCCCTGTGAGGGGCTGTAATTCTCCCCAGCCTTTCTCTAGCTGTCCTCCAAGTGAGGTCATGCCATCTCACGTTCATTGGAAGAGCAAGGCCAGAATACAAGTCAAAGAAATTTGGGGCAGAACTGCAAGCAAGTCTTGCTCAATGGACCCGAGTGAGTCACCTCCCAGCCCACGTGACCTCCCACGGAGGGCCTGCAGGCTGGATGACGCCCCCCAGAGGTGCTCATTACCTCCTTCCTCCAGCCAGCCCGCAGGCTTGCCTAATGAGGTTCCCAAACAAAGGGAACTCTGTGCCGAGGATGGAAATTCCATGTGGGCTCCACTGTGGGATGCCCCTCACCAAAGTTGCCCTGGCTACCACCGCTTTGTCACGGACCTTTCCTGAACATGGCATCTGTTTCCTCGTGAAGGGACTCTGCACCAGGCTTGGAGATGAATATACTGATTCTCTCCGCCTGGACATGGGACTGTAATGCATGTTCTCTCTCTCCTGCTCTGAAATAACCCCTCATGGGTAGTGTAAGCACCTGGAGTAGGAACATAAGTAGGTTCAGTGGTGGTAGTGGCCCAACCATGGAGAATTCTTCTAGGTAGAACTAGGTTCCCAGATTACCATGCAGGTGAGGCCGAGGGTCCAGGGCTGAGAAAGTTTCAGCTTCTTGATGAACCTGGGGCTCAGCCTGATTGGATGAGATCTCGTAGCTTTCTACCTCCCTCCAAGGGGCACCACAAGAACAGGGGAGACCACAAAGTAGCCTAATGTCTCTGCCCCCCTGCCCCGCCATGCCCAGCAAGAGCGGCCACCCACCATTCATTCTGGACCCAGGTCTTTGGGGCCACGATCTGGAGGGACCACTTGTTAACTACCTGTGTGTCACGCCCTGAAATACCTCTTTACATGGACTGCCGCCCCCCCACCCTGACAAAGCAGGCATTAGTATTTCCACTTAAAGGTGAACACTGATTCTAAAGGGACAACCAGCCAGTCTGAGACAACATAGCCAGGGAGGAGGAAAAAGCACCTGGACTATGGTCTGGGAGGTCATGAGGTCATAGGACTGAGGATCAGCAACACTGGTTCTGACGATTCCCAAGGGGTGGCTCTTTCTCAGGAGTGGGGGATGATGAGGAGAGGTGAGGGATGAAATTCACCTCGATGTCTGAGAACACTGCCTAGGGACTGGGACTGTTTAGAAACACCTCTGGCCAGTCCGAGGGAGTGAGTCCTCTGTCTCTGGACAAAAGCCAAGTCACTCTGTCCCAGCGAGTAGGAAGGCTGGAGACTGGACTTGGTTCCCCAAGTTCTACCATGCATCCCCATTATGATGAAGTAGCCGCACATCCAATCCCCAGTGAGGACAGAAGGAGGAGTGAGACAGGGTCTGTCCCTGCCCCTCTCGCGCCAACAGACCGCTACGTAAGAATTTAAGTGCTGGAATAAAAAGTGGCTCAAAGTTCTGATGAAGAATGGTGAGGGAAGGAATGGCAGCCTTGGGGAGTTGGGGAGGCTTCCTCTAGAAAGGAGATGTAAGGAGGCTTTAATGGGGCTTGAGAAGAGGAGTTCTAGGTATCTCAGATAAGTCCTGGGACAGCAGCGGCCATGTCTGTGTCCTTTACAGTTATGCCCCAGTCTCCAGCATAGCACCTGCCAGGTAGCAGGTGTGGGTGAATGAATGAGTGAAGTAATAGGAATGAGAACCAGTCTGAGCAAAGACATAGAGTCACCGCAATGCGTCATGGTGTAGGGGAGCGGTGAGCCACCTCCAGTAAGGCTACAGGCAGGGCTAGAGATGATTTCCCCCAGCCAGGATTATGTCATCCAAGGGGTATGGGGTCCTAAGTGGTGTAATATGGCGCAGGAGATTCAATCCACAGACATTTCCTCAGTGCCTACAATGTGTCAGGTGTGTGCAAACTCTGCGAATATGGTAATGAACAAGGTCATAGCCCTAACACCCGCCTTGTCTGCCTGCTCCACCCGCTGCACTGAAGTCCACGCAGGTGTGCTGAGCACCTGGCTCTGCTCCCCCCGCCCTCTCACTGGCTTTCCCCAGCAACAAAACCTCATCAACTCTCCCTGCTACCGCAGAGTCCCCTTTCTGTTCCCTGCTCCATCCAGCTTCCTAGTTACTTCCTAAGAACCCAAACCAACCTGGTCACAGTCACTTGGGTAGAAATATACCAAAGTGTTCACTGTACTTACCTGTGGGGCTCTGGTGGGGGTGGGAGAGGGATACAGGTGACTTCAGTATGGCCTCCTCCCTCCCATTCTTCCCCAGCCCCATTAAAGATCCCCCCGCACCCCACACATCCAAACATCCCGGTAACTTTGGGACAAGCGTCTTTCCTCTTTTCTAGTTCAGTAGGGACAGCTAACAGTTACTTGCATCATTACTGTGACCAAGAAGGCAATGGCTTTGTAAACCTTATCTGCGTCTCCAATTTATTTTAAAATCCACTTTTAGAGTGCAGAAGGTAAAGCTCAGGTAAATTCATTCCTTTTTCAACAGCTGGAGACCCAGGAGTGAAGTGGTAAGTCACAGAGGACGAGCAAGTGAAGAAGGAAACGCATACATCAACGGGATGATTCTGCATGTGCTGTGAAGCTCAGAAGGCTGGCCAAGGTCCCAGTCTGGTAGCTGTGAGTGGATCTGAACGGCCCTGGGCCTGACCCCAGAGCCTGCCTCTGACCCCATCTGCGACTGCCTGACTCCAACTCATGGGGGGCGCCCATCCTAGCCACACCCTTGCACTGCCCCCCCTGCAAACCCTTCTCTGCAACCCCAGTTCCCAGGAGCCTTCCAGCGCCCCTGCAGAGGTCCCAGCTCCACCGGCAGCCACTGCCCTGGAGCCGGTGGTCCACAACCACCCGCGGGGCCCACCCTCCAGTGCCGCCCCGCCCCCAGGCCTCCCGGCGCCTCTGAACCCTCCGCATTCCCTCGCCCCCACTACTCACCTGCTCCCGCAGCCCCCCGTAGCCCCCGCCACCCCCGTGTCCTTGTGCCATCAACCCCCAGCCATCCCAAACCTCCCGCTGTCTCCACGTCTGGCGTCTCCGAGCGTCCCAGGCCCGATCCCACCTGGCGTCCCCGCAGGTCCCCGGCGCCCCAGCACCCGTGTCCCCGCTGCTCCGACATGTCCCCCTGCCCCTGCGTCCCCTCTGCTCCGGCGTGTCGCCGCGCCCCCAGCCCCCGCGTCCCCCCCTCCTGCTTGTCCCTGGCGCCCCGGCCCCGCGTCTCCCGCTCCGACGTGTCCCCGCGCCCCAGCCCCCGTGTACCCTCCACCCTCCGGCGTGTCCCCGCGTCCCCGGCCCGCGCCCGCTGACGCCATGACGCCGCGGCGGAGGGAGGGGCGGAGCGGGGCCGGGGCCGGCCCGAGAGGGGCGCGAGCGGCGGGAGCGGCGGGCCCCGCGGCAGTAGCGGGCGGCGCGGCGGATGGACATGGGCACGCAGGGCTCGGGGCGCAAGCGGCTCCCCAACCGGGAGCGGCTGACGGCGGAGGACGACGCGCTGAACCAGATCGCGCGCGAGGTGGGCGGCCCGCGGGCCCGCGGTGCGGGGGGCGGGCGGGGGCGCCGCCGCAGCGGTCGCGCCTCGGTCGGTCGCTCTGTCCGTCCGCCAGCGGCGCGGGCGGGGGGTGGGGCGCGGGCCCGGCGGGATGTCGGCGGGCCAGACACCGGTCTTCTGGCCCCTGGGGACAGGCTGGCGACGCTGACCCCTCCCCCACTGTGGGGCCACCGTGTCCCCCTCCGGTGGCGGAGCTGGGGTGGCGGCGCGGGGAGGGGCGGGACCGCGGGGTCGGGGCTGAGCGCCCCGCTTTGTCGTGCCGCTTGGTGGGGGTGGAGTAGGCCGCCCCCCGGAGGCCCATGGACCGTCCCCGGAGGCCACATGGCCCTGGCGAAATGGCCTGTTTCTTGTCTGTGACCATGGGTCATCGATTGTCACGCAGGTGCAGCTTGAGCATGAGCTTGGGGTCACTGTGAATCTTGTTTCTGGAGGGAGCCTGAGAACGGGTCCAGGCGCACCGAGGGGCTTTCGTCCAAGTTTTCTGGGCAGTTTATTTGAAAGACTGGTGGTGAGCTTTAAGCGTGGCAAATTAAAGGAGCATTGTGTGCGCGCTGGACAAGTGCCTTTCCCTCTAAGGATCCTTTATTTCACCTTCAGGTGAAATAAACCGGTGACAGGGGAAAGTTGCCCCTGGGATTGGCCGCGGCAGCTCCCTGGGGAAGGGGAGCCCACTGGGCCCCAGTGACAAAGGATGCCTGATTTTTCTCGCATACCCTTTTGTACCTTTCCAGTGTCCCGTGTGTGTGCTGACTATGGAGTTGCAGCTCCTCCCTCCTCATGCGCTCCCTTCCAAGTGTTCCATATGATGTGGAGTTCGTCTGCATACCACACTGTTCTCAGGTGGAAAAACTTCCAGGCCATTTAGGCTGTGGGCTCTGGTTGCGTCATTCAGCTATTTACTGAGGTCCACTCTCTAACCAGTTCTTAGGTGTTTTTAGTTGCCAATACTCGATTTTGCTTTTATGGACATAGGGCTGTCAGTCAGTATTTGTTGAATATTGAAATGGATAAAGACTTCGGTTTTTCTCTGTATGAAAAGAAAAGGGCTTTCCGGGCAAACTCTTATACATCCCTTAAAACTCACTGCAGATTGGTGGCCTCTGTGAGACCGCCCCCATCACCCCAGGCAAAAGTCTCCCTGCCTCCATCTGGCTCCTCTAGCTCTTCTCCCTACACCTGGTATGGGAGTCACCTCTCCTCAGCATGATTTGCTCATGCTGTAGAAGGTGACACCCAGGCAGGCGAAATCTTTCTCTTCTGTTTCCCCAGAGCTCCACACAGTCAGGCATGTAGTAGGTGCTCCGAAGTGTGTTGCGCTAATTAACAAACAAAAGAAGTACCAGGACTTAAAGTACATTGGGCTAAATAAAGACATTGGCTAAATGCAGTAGCTTGAATATAATCCCCACTCCTGTGAGGACAGTCAGTTAGGTATGTATTTGACCCTAAGACCAAACGAGTGTTCTCTGGGAGGACAGAGGTGACGGGTGACCCCTGGGCCTCGTCTTTCTGTCGGTGCTTATGGACAAAGGAACAAGAAGAATGAGAGCTCCCAAAGTCTACCTCGTACCTACTGGTTTGGATTTGAAGCAAAGGCTAGGGATGCTCCCTGGGTTGACATCCTTGAGGTCCCGAGGGTTGGGAGCCCGTGGTCTTGGCCCCCAGCCAGGGAGACGGTGGTAGGCAGTGACAGATTCAGACTGGGGAGTCAGTCCTGGGCTATGACAACGCACACACCTCATGGAGGAGCTATGCGATCCTGGGGAAGTGAGTCATTCAACCCCCCTGAGTGTCTGTTCTCTTGTCTCTAAAGTGCGGGAAAGAAATCCCCCTTGGCCGTCAGGATTAAAGAAAAGGGCTAGCATTCATACAGTGGGTAACCAGGTAAATGTGAGCCTCAGCCACCTATCCTCCTGATAAAACCAACCACAGATGGGCTTGTTATAAGCACTAAGTGGCAGGTATCTATAATGTTGGAGGGAGCAGGTGCAACATTTTATGTTTTACCACAAATTGAATTATATTTCCCAACTGTAAAAATTAGAATCACGATCGAAATGGCAAGTATCTGTTCACCGTCGAGTTCTTGAGTGCTTATAAAAATTAACAAAATTGTCTTAAGTTTAGTACATTCTTATTTGTGCATTGATTCAGCAGATGCCCGCCGTGCTCTCCAAACACCTGTCCTAGGGAGACTGGGATTCAGAGATGGACCTGAAGAGGATCCACCCATGAAGAGTTGGGTCAGAAAGGGGTCTGACCTGTAGATCAATAGGAGAGCGGAAGATAGGAAGAGATCTGATAGTAAAAGGCCATGGATATTGTGCCCTGAAAGTTTGGAAATGAGAGAGTTCCAGTTTATTGAGGGGACTAGGAATGGCAATCAGAAGTGGCTTCCTGGAGGAAGTGGCATTTTGAGTTATTTTGAAGTGACAGAAACGCTGACCTGGACTGGCCTCCACAAGGGGAAATATATTGGCTGGAGCATGGATTCCTGGCCACCAGCCCCACCAGTGGCTGCTTCCCTCCATAGCACCTTGCAGCTGGATCTGCTGCGCTGTCCTTTTTGGGTGGCCTCACCTTCAGGCTGACATGCGTCTGCCGTGTTCCCACACTGCCCTCCATGAGCCCACACCCAGTCTCTCTCTTGAGAGCTAGAAGTATCTTCCCTGACAAATCTCCACGTGGCTCCCTGGCTACCCCCGAGCCAAACTGTGAGCAGGACTGTTGACTCAGCCACCCACGGCAGTCCCTGGGCCAGGGTGTGCAGGGCCGGGGGAGTCCTGCCTTGTGACCCGTCAGGCCCATCCTGGAAATGGGGGGAGTTGGCTGTTGCCTCTGAAGCCCTTGGGGAGGTGAGGGAGACTCAGTGAAAACTGGGGACTGTTTCAGAAGGTGGCAGGGGGTGGGTGGGCATGGGTCAGGCGTCCAGGAAGGCGCTCTCTAGAGAATAAGCAGAGCCTTCTGGGCTGGGGTGACCTGGGGCCCACGGGCAGGGTCACCGGGCAGGAGGGAGAGCGGGTGGGCAGGGCTGGGAGGGGAGCTCAGCTGCCCCTGCAGAGGGCTCGAGAAGCACATCCTGACCGGTGGAAGCTGACACAGTCCTGTTTCTGCAGTTACGCTGTGGTTTAACCCAAGGCCGGTTTTTAGTAAATGGACTCGTAACTTGAAAACACTGTAGATGCGTTAGCACAGGTACTCGCTTCTGAGGTGCCCGAATTCCAATTCGGGCAAGATGTTGTCAGGAAGAAGGCCCAGTAAGCACTTGGAGATGCTCATCGCCGCTGAAGGCGTGAGCAGTGTTTCTCACACCCTGGGGAAAGGTGTTTTGAAAGCAGATATATTTTTCTCTCCTGCCGTGTTTAACATTCGGCTCAAGATTTTTGGTAGCATCCCACATTGCTCATCCAGCACTCGGCCACGGAGGGGGATGAGCCTGCTCTCACAATGCCTGAGGCAATTCAGAGCATTCCTCTCAAACGGAGAGCGACAACAGAATTTTAACAAATAGTGATAACACACAAGCTGCCTTGTGAGTCATGCCCTGTGGCCACACGGGCCCTGGTCCGATGCCCTTCCCCGCTCACAGCACAGTGCCCTCCCCGAGACTGTCCCCACGGCCACCTCTCCAAGACCCACCCACTGCGAGGTGGTCCCTTGGGCACCAATGGTGCCCACCCAGCTCCCCCCGTGGGCAGGTGCTGCCTCCCTGGCCTGTGAGCGCCCTTGGCCACCCAGCAGTCGCTGTGGGGGAGGGGTATGACCCCACCCCCACCCCTACCCCCGGGGCAGCCTGCAGCTGTTGCCTGAGGGGTGTGAGGATATAAATGTCCCCTCGGCTCGCTTCAGGTTGGAACCCACTCTGGTGCCGTTCCGGCTCCAGAGCCCCCTGTGGGATGGGGCTGAGGGCACACCCCGGCGGAGGCCTCCTCCTGCCCCTGCCTCTGCTGTCCCCTCAGCCCCTCTTCTGCGGTCTCTGCTCCCCGGATATAGAGCCACAGACAAACCCCTGCCTCAGGCTCTGCCTCTGGGGACCCCGACTTCGGACGACCCCGTGCTTCATTCTGGGGGGTCCTGCACACACAGGACATTCTCATCCTCAAACCCCTTTCGTGTTATGCCCTCACCACACCCTTCCCAAATAGCCTTCACAGGCCAGCTTGTCTTGAGGGACCCGTCTCCTTTCTCCTCAAGCCTCAAGGCGTCTGTGGGCCCAGCTGCGGGGGTGGATACACAAGTGCTTTTCCAGAACGGCCCCAGGAACCGGCTTCAGCTTGGAGCCTCCGTTTCACCTTGCTCTGGCTCTCAGCAGATCCGGCGCCTCTGGGATGGTGCAGCCCAGGAGTGAGCCCACAGCTGGCGTGACACCCACTCCTGGTCTCCCGGCGCCGTCACCTTCCCTCAGTGAGAGGACAGAGAGCAGCATGTAACCGGACAGGCCCTTGCTGCTACAGCCGAGCAGTCCCCCTCAGGCCTTAGTTCCAGGTGAAGTTGCTTTTCTGAGGTGGGCTGCCAGCTCAAAACATGGTGGCCACGGCCTGGATGGTGTCCTCGGGTGTTGCCAGTGGTTTGCGAGCGGGGACACTGTTGCGCCCCCTTCTTCCCGGGCGTGGGAAGGGATGAGGGGAGTCAGACGCCGAGCACTGTGGGAAGAGCTGCCCTGCCCCCAGTTCTAACACAGTCAGGCCCTCCCCGAGCTCACCTTCCCAGGGCAGACTCGCACAGCCTGGTGCACCATCAGTGAGCGCTGGGAACACGGGCGTTCACGGTGGATGTCTCGCACGGAGTCTGGGCCCCAGGGGAGCTGCACGTGGCGCCCGTGACCTTGGGCCATCTCGGTGATTCCCAACAAGATGGTCCTGGTGGGGGTGGAATCAGAAACTCAGCTGTGGACAGTCCTGCCGGTGGCGATGGCGTGCGGGCCCCGCCCCACAGCTATTTCTGTCAGAGAGCCAGCCGTCTGT